CCCTGCCAGCCCGGGGGCCACGTCTTTCATTCCTTGGGTTCCCCCGCCAGCCCGGGGGCCAGTCCTCCATTCCTTGTCCCCCTGCCAGCCCGGGGGCCACGTCCTCCATTCCCCGTCCCACCGCTGCTGCCAGTTCACGGTACCTGCACTGGCCAGGCGGCCCCGTCACCCAGGGCACAGATGGTGTGGCCCTCGATCTGCTTGCTGATCTCCCAGAGTGCATCGATCTCAGACACACGGGCGTCCCCCTTGACGAAGCGCCCCATCACTTTGTTCATCCAGTCCACACCTGGGGCGGCCAGGGAGAAGGGGTTTTGGCGTTCCCCCTAGGGGTGAGGCTGGGGCCTGCGCCGGGCTCCCTCCCATCCCCCCTCCCTCACCCAGGCTCGCGGTGCTCACCCTCCCGACAAGGCGTGCACTGGCCACAGCTCTCGTGTTTGTAGAACTCGATGAGGCGGGCAATGGCTTTCACGATGTCTGTCTGAGGGGAGCAGGAGGAGTCACTGCTGGGGGGGGGGGGGAGAGGACGCTGGGACCCCCCACCCCACCCTGCGGGTTCCAGCAGCAGGAGGTGTGAGGAGGCTGCGTCCTTACCGAGCGGTTCATGACGATGACGGCGGCAGTGCCCAGCCCCGTCTGAGCTTGGATCAGCGCATCAAAGTCCATCAGGACCGTCTCACATACAGACTTGGGGATCAGGGGTGTAGACGAGCCGCCGGGGATCACCGCCAGGAGGTTGTCCCAGCCACCAGTCACACCCCCTGGGGGTCACAGTTCATGTCACCTCCGGCCCCACCTCCACCCTCCCTGAGCTCCCTCCCCACCCCCAGGCTTCTGGGCCTCACCAGCATGCTTCTCTATCAGCTCCTTCAGCGGCACAGACATCTCCTCCTCCACGGTGCAGGGGTGGTTGACGTGGCCAGAGATGTTGAAGAGCTTGGTGCCCGAGTTCCGCTCCCGGCCAAAACTGGCAAACCAGGACCCGCCACGGCGGCAGATGGTGGGGGATACGGCTACCGTCTCCACATTGGCCACGGTGGTGGGACAGCCAAACACGCCTGCCAGACAGAGGGGCGGGGGGAGGTCCGGACAGAGTCCCCAGCCCCAGTACCGCACCCCACACCATAGGAAAGTGCCAGCGGAAGCCTGCCTCCCCCTCTTATATCCTCAGACTGGTCCCTCCCAGAGTTCTCACTGATGCCCTGGGGTCAAGGGTCCTTGGGGAAAGCTTGCACAAGTATTCCCATCTCCATCCTACGGCTGAAGGGACGAGGGCCTCGCACAACATCACACCATTGGGGATGGGGGGGGGGTACCCACAGCTCCTCCCCCATGCTGGGCCTGGCCTGCAGGCCTGGACTAAGAGCTGCCCGCAGCCCAAAGACCCCCCAGGCCCAGGATGGGCCCTGGACAGGCCTAGGGCTGGCCGGCCCTCGTGCTCTGTGCTGCTGAGATGGGCGCGAGGTCACGTACCCACATCCGCGGGGAAGGGTGGCTTGAGGCGGGGCTTGCCCTGCTTGCCCTCAATGGACTCGATGAGCGCCGTCTCCTCCCCACAGATGTAGGCCCCAGCCCCCCGCACCACAAACACATCAAAGTCGTAGCCAGATCCGCAGGCGTTCCTGCCAATCAGCCCGGCCTCATAGGCCTCCCTGATGGCCACCTGTGGGGAAGGGCCAGGAGAGGGCTGTGAGGAGGGGTCGGAGGAGAAGGCTGGGGGGGGGGGAACTGCCAGTAAGGGCTGGCAAGAGAAGGCCATCTGTCAGCACGGCTCTGGAGGACCCTAAGGTGCCCCCCATGGGTCCAAGCCTGGTCTCACTCACCTGCAGATTGGAGGCTTCATTGTAGAACTCGCCCCGGATGTAGATATAGGCAGCCCGGGCACCCATGGCCCGGCCCCCTACAAGGCAGCCCTCCACCAGCTTGTGGGGGTCATGCCTTATGATCTCCCGGTCCTTGCAAGTCCCTGGTTCCCCCTCATCTGCATTCACCACCAGGTATTTTGGCCTGGGAAAGGCGGGGGATCCATCAGCCAGTGTAGCTGCCCAATGTCTTCCCTACGTCATTCCCATTTCCCAGCCCCTCCCTGGCACCAACAAGCTGCCAGCAGGGGACCCCAAGTCCCCCATCTCCACTTCACTCCACACAATCCTGCCCCCCCCGCCACCACAACTACCCCTGCCTGAAAACCATCCCAGGTCAGGGAGGAGCAGGGCCTGGGGCAGCAGCGAGGAGGAGGAGGGGCACGTGCCCACATGAAGGGCACGGCCTCATGTCTCCCCCCCTTTCCAACACAGACTGAACACCTCCACTCACGGAAGCCTCAAAACAGTCCTGGGAGGAAGGGAAGGCAGGGCAGAGATCATCGCCGTTCCCATGTTACAGAGGAGAAAACAGGCCACGGGCTCACACTTCGTGGTCTTTGTGGCACCAGGCCACCGCCACTGCCACCACCTCCCTCCTCCTCCTCCCCCTTCCCCCCCACCTCCCCCTCTCCCCCCCCCACCTCCCAGTCCTCCCCATCCTCCCCATCAACCTCTGTCTCCCTCCCACCTGCCATCAGATGGCTTGTTCATGAAGCTCCACTTGAGGCCGGTGGGGAAGCCGGCCCCTCCGCGGCCCCGCAGGCCTGAGGTCTTGACCTCGCTCAGGATCCAGTCGGGCCCCTTCAGCAGGATCTCCTTTGTCTTGTACCAGTCGCCCCGACTCAGGGCCCCCTTCAGCCTGCGCGTGGGGGTGGGGTGGAGATGGAGGAGGTGAGCCCGGGACCCAATCGCACACCAGCCCTGCCCCGTACCGGACAAGACCTCAGTACCTCCAGTCATGGCGGCCGTAGAGGTTGGTGAAGATGCGGTCTTCATCCTTTAGGGACCCAAAGGTCGTCTTCTTGGGGGGCGCCTGTGGGGAAGGAGGGAGGCTCGGGAGGCCCAGGGCCCGTGAGCTCGAGCCTGCCTTCCTGGAGGTCTAAGGAGCCTGGGGAAGGCCAATGGTACCCGGAGAAGGCGGACCGGTGGGGCTGACTTGGGTGCCTGGCTTTCGTCCTTGCAGGGCGGCCCTCCCCTTCACCCGTGCACAGGGCACTGTGATTCTCTGGAGCGTCCCCAGCGGGCAGCTCACACCCACCCACCCACACCGGCTCACCGGGGCCAAATCGTCCCCGGAGCAGCCACAAAGGTCATGACCCGCACCCAGGCCCCCGACTCACAGCCCACCACCCCATGCCCTTGCCCAAGACACGCTCAGAGTCTGCGGAGGGAGTGTGCCCTGGGTGCCCGGCAGAGGTGACTTGTTCAAGGTCAATGTCCCTGGGGCAAGGTCATGGCACTCCAAGCGTGGGGGAGGGGCCTGCCACTTCTACCTATCTGGGCCTCAGTTTCCTCATCGGTAAAAGGTGACTCGTAAGGTCCCCTTCCACGTGTAACGATAACAAATAATGCTCATGCGGCGCTTTAAGGTGCGCTTTACAGGGGTTGTATCAGTTGGTCACCACACCCATTTTGCAGATGGGGAAACTAAGGACTTGCCCAGGGTCACAGATATCCGGCTGCACCCCGCCCCAGCTGCCTATGGTCGGGGGGGATACGGCTTAGGTTAGGGAGGAGGCATCCCAGCGGGCCTTGAACGCCACATCAGGGCCGTGAGCACCACCTAGCAGGCGGGAGAAAAGGGGGGCCCTCCACCCCTGAGTCCCGGCCCCGCCCACCGGCAGCACCAAGCCCCGCCTCGTCCTTCTCGACCCCGTGGCCCCGCCCCCTCCCGGGCCCGGGCGCACTTACCGTCCCCACCTCCTGGAAGGTGAGCCGGGCAAGGCCCCTGGCGGAGAGCGCCCCCCGCACGAGCCGCTGCACCGCCAGCATCGTGCGGGCCTGGGGGGGGGCGGGCGCCGCGGGCGGCGGGAGGAGGACCGAAGCTTCGCGGCGCCGCTGCCGCCGAGGGCACGGACCTCCCCTCTGTCACCTTCGCTGCGCGGACGGGCAGAAGCCGGGGCCGCGGGCGCAGGAGTTTGACGTCACGCGCCGCGCCGCGCGTGACGTCACGGCGCCGCGAGGCCCCGCCTCCGCGCCTGGCGCGTCTGTCTGCGGGCGTCGCGCCGCTCTGGCGCAGGGCATTCTGGGAATCGTAGTCTCGCCCTCCCGGCCTCCCTCCGCAGTCTGCTGACCCCTCCCTGGGAGGTTCTCACGCCTGCGCTCTGAGGCTCGCTTCTACGCTGGTCCCAGCCCGTCACGAAAGCTCTCTGCCCTTTAGTGAAGAATCGGGGACCTCTCTGGACCTCAGTCCCGTCATTTGTAAATTAGGAACAATCGGGCTCCCCGCCCCCCCCATGGTGAGGATTTCTCCAGGTCACGTGTGTACAAAGCGCTTTGCCATCCTCAAAGCGCCTTCGAAATGTCAGTCCTGCTTCCACGGCGGTCCGCCCTGGGGTCGAGGGTGAGCTGGCGCGTGGGAGGGGAGATGCCCCAGGCAGGCAGCGAGGATGGACGCAGGCCGGTCCTGTGGGGCAGGGTGAGACCCCGGGGGACAGGACGGCCGCCCAGATGCCCTGAGCGGGCGGGGGGACACTGGGGAGGGGGCGAGGCGGTGAGCTCGTCCCCGCAGCTGCGTTCCAGAAAAGAAGCCTCCCGAGGGCGGGGACTTGGCCGGCATCCTCCGCAGCAAGCCGGGGCCCGCGCCCGGCGATCGCCTCCCTTTGGGCAGGTCTCTCCACCCCGCGGGCTCGCAGAGCTTGGCGGGGCTGCCTGGCCTCGAGGAGGGCATCCCGACGCCCTGGTCCTCGGGCTCTAGGAGAAGTCCCCTGTTCTCCCTCTGTCTCTGCCCCGAGGTGTGCCCTTGGGGCCCATCTCGGAGCATCCGCGAGCACTCGTTAAGAATCTGCCGCGCCCCGCCCCGCCCGCCCCGCCCATGCCACGCCCATGCCCGCCCATGCCCCGGCCCGGCCCGCCCACGCCCCGCCCACGCCCCCGCCCCTGTGCTTTAAGGATGCCACAACTGAAAAACAGCACAGAGCAGACCCTTACACGTGGAACTGGGAGGAGTTTTCACCCCAGAGCCAAGAAGGGACAGCCCGGCTGCAGTGGAGTGCCCTCCTGCTCTAACACCCCCTCACGCCAAGGCCTGTATAGAAGCACAAGATGACGGGCACCGTCTGCCCTCCCCCGCCTGCACAGCATCTCTTCTTTGCCCTCGGTCCAGGTCCTCATCGCTGGCTCCTGGGTGACTGCTCCGCGGCTCCCTCAGCGGCCTCCCCGCCCAGGACGTCCGTCCGTCCGTGCCCTGCTGCACTGCAAAGTGCTTTTCTTTCAGCCTCCTGCGCGCCCAGCGCCAGTGGTTCTCTGCTGAATAAAATAGAAACTCCTGCGTCAAGCCCCTGTAAGCTGGCCCCAACACACCTTTCCAGGCTCTCCCTCCTGCCCATGTGGCCTTCTCTCTTTTCCTCACGCGTGATACCCCATCTCCCCTCTCTGGGCCTTGGAACGGGCCACCCTTCCCCTCATGGAATGCCTTTATTCCTTCAAGCCTGAGCTCAAGCATTGCCTTCCACATGATTCCCCCCACTGCTGGTGCCATCCCCCTCCCAAACTGCCTCAATTTGGCTAGCTTGTTTGCATTTGTCCTTTTCTCTTTACATTTGTATTATTCTGTACATATTTTTGTGGCCTGCCCCATTGGAATTTAAGCCCGCTGAGAGCTGGGATTGTTTCTTTCTTTGGCCTCATACCACCAGTGCCCTGCACAGAGATGGGCACATAGCAGGGGCCTGCTAAATGCTTGTTGATTGATGGATCGATTGAAAATGGAAAGGATGTTCACACGGTTGACATCCTGGGAGGGAGAGGCAGGCTTTGTCCAGGTGCAGTCAGAACGTTCATTACCCACATTTCTGTGCTTCTCATTGAAGTGGACTGAGTTGTCACAAACCTAGCCTGACCTCCTTAGTCCCTACCTCAAAGGATTGCGAATCCACGATTGTAAATTCCACTACCTCAAAGGATCGCTAATCCACGATTGTAAATTCCCCTGCCTCAAAGGATCGCTAATCCATGATTGTAAATTCCCCTGCCTCAAAGGATCGCTAATCCACGATTGTAAATTTCACTACATCAAAGGATTAGTATCTACGATTGAAAACTGTTGGGTATAAAGCTTTGTTATTTCTCTTGCCTGGCACTGTTTCTCCTAGGATTGCATCCAGGGGACAGTCGCCGGCCGGCTCCAGTAAATGCTCTCTATTTTCTAAATTTGGCGTGTGTCTGGTTACTCTCGGCCCGTCCATTTCACTCATCCTCTGGGAACTGAGCATGCTTCAGGTGATGCCGCCCCCCCCCCCCATTGTACTCCAGTACAATGGTACCTCCATGCCTGCGATGCTCTGCCTTCTCATCTTCGCCTCCTGGCTTCCTTCACATCCCAACTAAAATCCCACCTTCTACAGGAAGCCTTCTCTGACCCCTTTTAATTCCAGCGCCTTCCCTCTGTTGGCTGGTTCCTAACTTTCCTGCCTGTCTCTCATCTGTACGTATTTGTTTACCTTTTATCTTCTTCGTTAGACTGTGAGCCACTCGAGGGCAGGGCTGCCTCCGCTTTGCTTTGTATCTCCAGTGCTCATGTCTGGCACATAGTGAGTGCTTTATAAGTACTTCTTGACCAACTGACACAAGGCCTTTAATATTGCTCCAATTGATCAACCAAACATTCTTCATCCACGCCCGCTCTTCCTTTATGACTATTGTCCACGTCCTCTTCTGAACGTCAAGTGTTTGAACTTCAAAGTTTCTATGTAGCTCTGAACTTGTCATCAGAAAATGCTTGTTGACTGACTGTGAATATTAACATTCCAAAGAGTTGGATATTAGCTCTTTGAGGGCAGGGATTGTCTAATGCACGTCTTTGCTTTTTTGTTTTTTTATTTTGTTTTTTGCTAAGCAGTGGGGTTAAGTGACTTGCCCAGGGTCACACAGCTAGCAAGTGTTATGTGTCTGAGGCACTGGATTTGAACTCAGGTCCTCCTGACTTCAAGTCCCATACTCTATCCACTGCCCCCTTGTCTTTCAAAAAATGCAGAGAAAGAGATCCTGACTCCTCCCTCCCCTAGTAGAAGTTATAGTCATCAAGCCCATTTTAATTGGAGGCAGCTGGATGGCCCATTCATTTCACCTTTCGGTGCCTCAGTTACTTCATCAATAAAATGGGATAATAATAGCATTTACCTTCCAGCGTGGTGGTAAGGATCCAGTGAGAAATAAGTGAGATAAGTTGCCTTGCCGACCTTACGGGGCTCTATAAATGCTGGTTATTATTGTGAAATCTTTTCCGAATGTCACTGATGTGTAACGTTAGGGGTCACTGTGGAATCCGAGAGTCTGGGCTCTCTCTCCTCAAGAACCAGGAGCAGCATTTCCCCTCGAGTACCTGCATTCATAACTTTAGGGGCACTCTTCCGAGGGAAAACCTAAGTGAGCCCCAAGTTTGAGTTTTAGGGTTCTGTGGGAGAGAGTTTCTAGGATGACTCCCAAGGCTAAATTGTGACTACTCAGGCCCCTTCCTCCCCATGTCTGAAGACAATCAAAGGGTCCTAGTGTAGATAATGTGGGAAAGGCCATCCCTCCAGGCACAAACTGACTCATGCAAAGAGAAGCAGGCTTAGAAAATGCCCCCAGCAGGGGTTGGTGGCAAAATAGGACCTGGGGGAGTTTTTCAGCCCAGTCTTTACAGAGGGAAGGGCAGGGGCGGGAAAGGGGAAAGGAGCTGTCCATCAGCCACGAGAGAGGAGAATCTGCTACCCACAGGGTCCTTCCTCTAAGGGGGCAGCTGCAAGCCCGTCATCTGCTAGGGCCATTCCACAGGAGCCTGGTTGTTTCCCACTTATTTAAAGTCTCTGTCCTGATTCCCGGTCTCCGTCCTTCCCAAACTTTCTGGGCAAAAGTTCTCCCAAGCCATGAGACAGGGAGCTGTCTCATTGGTCTAGGGAAGCTTAGGAAGACATGCAGATGCCTTTTGTTTTTACATTACAGTCATTTCCAGACATCCTCCCCGCCCCGCCCCCCCACCACACAGATTAACAAGTCTTTTCCCTTGTAACAAATGCGATTAAGCAAAAGCCGCTGATGTCCCCTATGTCTGACAGCAATATTCCATACCCATGATCCCCCCCCCCCCCCCCCCCCAGTCACAGGAGGGACAGACATTTCTTCTTCTCCTTGGCGGGGGGGAGGGGGGAGGACAAGGTTGGTCATAATTAAACAATGCTCAGTTTGCAAGAGGGAGGTTCTATCATATTCCCCAGACAAATGGTGTATCTGATGCCCGGTCCCCAAGTCCGCACAAATATTCTTCCACGTTTAGCTTGAATGCCATGAGAAGTCTTCTGAAAGAAGACATGCCTCATCGGAGGCTGATCTGAGCAGGCACCGGTTCTCTGCCCTGTATCTCCGATCTTCCCCAGATATTCTCCTTTTTAGATTTTCTTGTGTCTCCTTTCTTGTAGACAAGCTCCTCTCATGTTCAGTGTGGGCCCTCCCACCTGATGGAGATCACCCTTCCCTATGAGACCAGGCACCCACAGTTATAACTGTCATTTAAAAAAAGCTTTACTGATATTTTTTCTTTGTCACTTCCAGATGAGTCCCCTGACTTCAATAAAATCTTCCTTTATAACAAAGAACAGTTCAACAAAACAAATGGACACATTGGTTATATCTGATAATGTATGTCTCATTCTGCACCTGTAGGCTACCACCTCTCTAAAGAGAAGAAGGAGGTATGTATAACAGACATTTCTCCTTACAAAGTTCATGGCTTTACAATGTTGTCAATCCAAGCTCCAGCAACATTTTTCTGACCCCCTAAGAAGATTTCTTTGGAGTACAGGCCTAGGATAAAGAGTATATGTGTGTTAGTAACTGTGGAGGCATTGCTCCAAATTGCTGGTCCTATTCACAGCTTCATCAACAAGGTGCTAATGTGCCTTTTTTTCCCAGAACCTCTCCAACATTTGCCATTTTTCTCTTTTGTCATCTTCACCAATCCCATGGATGTGAGATGGAGCTTCAAAGTTGTTTTATATTGGCATTTCTCTAATTCTCAATGATTGAGAACATTTTTTCATAGGGTTAGATAGCTTGGATTTCTTCACCTGAGAACTGCCTGTTTATATCCTTTTACCATTTATCAACTGGGGAGTGGCTCTTAGTCTAATACATTTGATTCAGTTCCTTATCTATCTTGGATATGAGACCTTTATCAGAAAAATTTGATGTAAAGATCTTTTTTCCAGTTACCTATTTCCCCATATAATAATTTATAATTATAAAATAATATATAATAAAATAATAAATAATAATTTTATTATTAGAGTTCTTTATGCAAAGAAGTTATTCTTTCAATTAATTTTTAGTTACCTCTCTAGGATTCTCTAAGTATGCCGTCATGTCATCTGCAAAAGTCGTAATTTTCTTTCCTCTTTGCCTATGATAATTCCCTTAATTTCTATTTCTTGTCTTATTGGCAGGTAGGTGAAGCAGGGGGTAGAGCTTTGGACTTGGAGTCAGGAAATCATGAGCTCAGATCTTGTCTCAGACACTTACTAGCTATGTAAACCTAAGCAAGTCACTTGATCTCTCTCAGCCTCAGTTTCCTCTTCTGTAAAAGGGAGAAGGGAGCAAACATTTGTGAAGTACCTACTATCTTCCAGGCCCTATGTAAAATGCTTTACAAAGAGTATCTCATTTCTTCCTTATAACAACTCTGAGAGGTAGGTACTGTTATTGTCCCCATTTTACAGTTGAAGAAACTGAGGCAGTCATAGGTTAAGTGACTTGTCTGTGGATCACATTGCTGGTAAGTGTCTGAGGCTGGATTTGAACTCAGTTCTTCCTGACTCCAGGCCCAGTGCTCTACCCGCTGTGCCACCTAGTGGCTTCATAGGCAAGTAACAACACCTACCCCTCAGGTTGTTGTGAGTATCAGATGAAATTAACACGTGTAAAAAAGTGCTCTGCAAACCTTTAAGTGCTGTGTAAATTCTAGCTATTATTACTGTTGCTATAGCTTGTATTTCTGCACTATGTTAAATAGCAGGTGATAATGGGCGGCCCCCCCATCCTACTGGAAAGGTCTCTAACTTTTCTCCACTACATACAATATTTGCTCTTGGTTTGAGATAGATGTTCTTTACCATATTAAGGAAATTTATTCCTGTGATTTCTGGAGTTTCTAATAGAAATATGTTGGATTTTGTAAAAAGCCTTTTCAGAATTTATTGGCATAAGCATATAATTTTATGACTTACATTATTAATATGATTCGTTATATTTATGGTCTTCCTTATGCTGAACCAACCTTACATTGCTGGTACAAGTCCAGCCTGGTGGAGTGTATAATGTTCATCGTGGACTCCAGCTTCCTGTTCCTGGAGATGTAATCACCTTCGAATGGGTTGGAATTCAAGACCAGCCTGAAGGCCTGCGCTAGGCCTCTGGGGGCCCAGCTGTTGTAGCTCTCTGGGAAGCTGCGGCCACACCCAGCAGGTCTTATCAATCTGGGTGGACACGGGTTTGCTGGACACACAGAGTGAATCCTTACTGGGCCACGGTGATTTGTCAGTGAGCAAAGTCAAGGCTGAGCAGGTGCCCTGGTGGGGAGGAGCCCTGTCTGAGGGAATTTCCTGGGCCTCGCCAAATTGAATGGCTCAATGCTGTAAGCAGAGCACCGAAGCAGGAATGTCATAAACTCTCGTTAAATTGCAAACTCATAGCTTTACCAACATAGCGTCCACTGAGGTCTCAGCAGGAACCCAGAGAAGGCTGTGATAGGTGAAGAGAAAGGAAGGAGGAAGCAGGAGATAGAGGAAGGACTAGGAACAGCCTCAGATGGGGGACAAACCTCCACCATCAGGGTTTTCCTGAAGCCAGTCCTAGCAACAAGATGGAGGGATTCAGGGCCACCTGTGGGCGTGACCTTGAGAAGGCTCAAAAACACAGCTCTGCTATCAAGAGAGGGAGCAGCAGCTATCCTTGTGCACTCCCAATAAGCAGGGCCTGCATCTCCTAGGCCACGGACTGGCCATAGACATAGAACGTGGAATGTCAGAGCTGGCAGAGACCTTAGACTTTCTTAAGTGGGAGAGGCCTTAGGGCTTAGAGCGGCAGAGCTGGGTGGGAAGTTAGACAATGTCTTTTGTAGGCTGTCATTGTCTGAAGGAGGAACTCCAACTCACTGAGCATTTATTAACCACCTACTGTGTGCTGGACACGGCATCCAAAGGGAGCCACAGAGAATCCTCACCCTCAGGGAGAGCTTTTCCTGGCGGTTCAGTGGCTTAGGGAAAGGAAAGGAGAGGCTCTCGCTAGAAGCGGGTGTGGAGGGAGAGGCGGGCAGAGCAGGGACAGGCCAAGGAGGAGTTCGGGGGGAGGCCCCGCGTGGTGTCCACGGCGGCAGTAGCCGTAGGCCTTGTCTTCGTGCCCAGGACCTGGCAAGGAGCCCAGCCGTTCGAGTAAGTGCCTGGAGGCCTCAGGAGGGGCCCCACCTTGGTGCCCCCTTCACGCTTGGCCTGTGGGAGTCCCCTCCCCCCTCTCCCAGACCTCCCGGCTTTCCTTACTCCACTTTGATTATACCTGACCCTGCTCTCCAGTCTTCAGTGACCCCCTATCTCTCTGAGGCCCCGGATCAAGCCCAGGTTCCCAGTCTGGCATTCAACGCTAATGCGCATTCCCCATCCAACAATGATGTTTCTGCCTCATGAGCCCATTCCTGCCCCGTTGTCCTTTGCGGATGCCTTCTCCCTGCCTACTGACTGAAATGACTTATGATAACATGCTGCACCGCTACAGTCAGTCAGTCAAGTCAACAAGCATTTTTTTTTATTTTTTGGGGGGGAGGCTAGGCAATGGGGTTAAGTGACTTGCCCAGGGTCACATAGCTGGTAAGCGTTATGTGTCTGAGGCCGGATTTGAACTCAGGTCCTCCTGAATCCAGGGCTGGTGCTCTATCCACTGCACTACCTAGCTGCCCCAACAAGCATTTATGAATCCCCTACTATGTGCCAGGCCCCGTGCTGAGTTCTTGGGGATGCCAGAGAAAAGACAAATGACAGTAACGGGAAAGCCGCAACTCTGTATAGGAAAGGGTGGCCCAGGTGCTTTGGAGATAGTCTCAGAAAGTGGGGCTTTAGCCGGGCCTTGACTGAAGCCAGTGAAACTGGCAGGAGATGAGGGGGAGAGAATTCTATGCAGGGAAGCCAGTGTCCATGTCACTGGGAGGATGGGGGGCCCTCAACAGAAACAGCAAATCCGGAGTAAGGATGGAGGAGGAGAAAGTGGGAGCAAGAAAAGAATCCACCCAGTCTTGTCCAGTGAGTAGCCAGTGGGGGAAGCCAGTGGGGGAGATGGCAGGAAGAGATGTAAGAGTCATCCGTGGAGAGATGACGGAGGGAAAAAAAGCCTCGGCCACCGACTGGAAACAGGGCAGGGAAGAAGAAGGGCGGAGTGAAGAGTTGGGGAGGAGGGTCTGTGGCCAGGGGGCAAAGCCAGAGCTGTGACCAGCTCAGCTGGAGGAGGGGGAGGACCACAGGTGGGCCCCGGCACCCAGGCCAACCTGCGGTTCTGCCGGGAGAGGGCATGGATGGCCCAGCTTTGTCCTGCCATCACCTCCAGGAGAATTCTGCTCTGCCTCACCCTCTCCTAGCCACGCCTTTCCCCTCCCACCCAGGGGATGCTGGCTGCAGAGGATAGAAGGTATGAGGAGAACCAGGGAAAATCCCTCCCCCTGACCCCACCATGTTGGCCTCTGAAGCAAAGCCCCACTCACCCCACCGTAGTTACGGCTCTGACCAGGAGGGAACAGTGTCAGGAAGGCCAAGGCTGTGTCTAACAGGAGGGCTGGAGGGGCATGACCAGAGCCCTCCTCATCCCATCCCCCCATCTTCCCCTGGAGGGCGGATGGTTTGGGGCTCACTCTCAGGACACACAGTCCCCTCCCAGTTAGGTGAGGAGACCAGGAGGCGTTTGTCTGAAAGCCTTTATTGCAAGACAAGGGTCAGGCCTGGGCCCTCACTGTTTGCCATTGCCATTGATGGGGAGACCAGTGTGCTGGGGTGAGGCCAGGAAGGCCTTGAGGTTGGGGCGGGAGGACAGCCGAGCTACATAGGCAGACAGCAAGGGGAAGGTGTCCAGGCAGCCCGGGGCCAGCGTCTGGTGAATCAGCAGCAGATCCAGCAGGTTGTAATCCACAAAAGAGATCTGCAGGGCACAGGGGACCAGAGACCAGGTCAGCCAAGGGGAGCTGGGAGGGACAGCAGCCCTGGGCTGGGAGCTGCAGGCTTGGCTCTAGGCTCCCCCAGGTCTGATGGTCTGGTCCCTACGGTCCCTCTCAGAGCCCCACCTGGTCCCCCAGAGCCCCATCTGGTCCCCCAGAGGCTCACCTGGTCCCCCAGAGCCCCACCTGGTTCCCCCAGAGCCCCACCTGGTTCCCTCAGAGGCTCACCTGGTCCCCCAGAGGCTCACCTGGTCCCCCAGAGCCCCACCTGGTCCCCCAGAGGCTCACCTGGTCCCCCACAATAAAGGCCTTGCCTCCCTGGTTCTGCTTCAGCAGGGTCTCAAAAGGCTTCAGTTGGGCAGGCAGGTCTTTCACATATTTGTCCTTGCCCTCGTCCTGCAAAGCCAAGGACCCCCCAGCTCACTTAGCAGACAAGGGAGAAGGGGGAGAAGTGGGATCCCCAGGATGTGCCCTGACTTTTGCCTTCCCAGACTCCTATCAGGTCTCCTCCCACCCAGGGAGGTTCTTCCTCACTCCTGGGTGGCCAGGGTCTTCTCTGCGCCTGCAGACCAGCACCTCCTACCCAGGCCATAGGAAGGAGGGATGGAGAAGACCCCAGTCCAACTGCTGCCTCATAACATCTCCCAGCCTCAGTTTCCCTCTCTGTAGGATGGAGATCACATCAGCACCTAGCCCCCAAGACTGTTGTGAGGATCACTGGAGTTAACTCTTGGGGGGGCAATAAAGACTAGGTGGGATAACCAAATGGAAGGGATAGGAGAAGGCCCCCCCCCACCCACTGAAGGGCTTGAAGAGGCTTGGGACACCAACAAGGGTCAGATGCCAGAACCCAGGTATTCCTCAGTCTGGGGTGAGGTCTCTGCTCGGACCCTCAGCCCTCCTGTCACTCACATAATTCTGGTAGATGAGGACAAGGTACTTGTTCCGGAGGTCCTCCACCCCATCATTGGCCATGTCCAAGAGAGCACGTTCTTGATCATCCTTCCCATAGAGCCCTGAGAAGGGGGGGAGGGGAGAGAAAGGGTCCAGTCACCTTCCTTCCCATGGCCCCTCCCAAGGCTCTTCTCAGCTCCCCTCCCCAAGGCCTAGCTCCAATGTCACCAACTCAAGGAAGCCTCCCCTGGCCAACCTGGCGCAGCAGGGCTGCCTTCTGCACTGGGAACTCTTCCTTCAGCCAAATTGGCCCCCCTGGGAATTCATCTCCCACCTCCTGCCTGTGCCTAGGCTGTGCCCCCTCCCCCACTGGGCTGCTCAGGTTCTGGAAGGGAGGAGGGCGTTCCAAGAGACAGAGCTGAGGAGGCTTGGCCAAGGGCCCTGCTGCAGAAGGCCTGCCTGGAACCTCACCTGTGATTACAAAATAACATTGTATTTCTTTGGTATTTCATTATCTGCCACCCTCTTCCCTCCCCACATAAGCTCCCTGAGGGCAAGCACTGACTCATCATTTTTTAACTCTGTATCTCCTACTCAGTGCTTGGCACACAGTAGGCACTCAAATGCTGGCTGAAATGAATTGAAAGTGATTTGCTCTGGGCAGGAACCTTGTCTCCTCCCTCTATTCCAGCCCTGTCTGACCCAGGCCTGGGCCCAACTGCTGGATGGATGGGTGGAAGGAGGGATGGAGGAAGGGAGGAATATGGATAGAGAGATGGATGGAGATAAGGAGGGAGGGAAGGAGGGATGAACCAGGCCTGGACCCACGGAAGGGGCTCACTAACTGCTGGACAGAAGGAGGGAGGAGGAATATGGACACATGGCTCCCATGTGACTGCTCTACCCCACCCCCACCCCGGGAGGCAGTGGCCATACCATGTTTGCGCCCCAGGTATCTCAGGATGGCATTGCTCTGGTACAAGGTGAAGGCTCCGTCCGTGAATTTGGGGAGCTGGCCATAGAGCTACGGGGCACAGTGCAGGGGAAGGAGCTGAACAAAACGCCCCTCCCAGACCCCCATCCACCCCGTCCTCACCCGTCCCCGCTCCCACCGTGTCCCCTTCCTCTCCGGCCCTGAGCACTCACACAGGTGGCCTTGAGGTCCCCCTTCATCCACGTGTCTAGGGTCACTACGTCCTCCTTCCAGGTCTGGCCCTGGTCAGCCAGGAGCATCCGAGTGGCCTGGCATCGCCCTGAAGGGAGGGCAGGGGGACAAAGGAGCTCAGCCCTGCAGCTCGAGGACAGCACCCCCAGGACAGCCGGCACGGAGGGGAAGGGGCAGCCGCTTCCTGACCTCTGGGGTCCCCCTTGGACAAATCCCTCCCCCTTTCCGGGCCTCAGTTTCCTCCTCCATAGAAGCCAAGGCCCGAGGTCCAGGACGTGGGAAGGGGGCTTGCACATTTCTCTCCCACGCCCCTTCGGGGAGGTGGGCTCCTCTCGAGGGTCCCCCAGCCCTACCGCTCCTGGTGCTGGGACCACAAATCACCTCGGACGGGGAAGTAGGTGATGGTGTAGGACGGCACTAGGAGAGATGGACAAAGCGAGGTCAGGGGGACCCTGCGCTCCCTGCAGCCCCTTCCCCAGAGCCCCCCCCCACTTCCCCCCACCTCAACTCCCCGATGGCCCTCCCGGGGAAGGCCCAGGCCTTACTCTCTGGAGATAGCGGCAAACAGGAGAGAGCGCGAGCAGGAAACTGGATCCCAGAGCCCTCCCAGAGCTTAATATGCCCAGACCGCGCCCTGGCTCCGCCCCCGACGCCCCCCTTCTCCCCGGCCCTGGCCCGGAATGTGCTGAGTCACTGCTGCACCGCACAGGGCTGGGGGTGCAGGGGGAGGAGCTGCAGAGGGGCTCAGGGAGAGTGGGGTGGGGGATGGGGAAGGAGGAGGGGAGAGGAAGGCTGAGGACCACGTACGAACACAGCACAGGGGTATAAACTGGCACTAGTTAACTAAGGGCTGGCCCTGGCATTAAGGAGGAAGGGGAAAGGCTTCCTGTTGAATGTGAGGCTTGAGGAGGAGGGATTCCAGGCAAGGGGCACAGCCAGGACAAATATCCAGAGACGGTAGCTGGGGGTTTCCTAAGGCTAGTATCACAGGACCATGGAGGGGAGGATGGTGTAGGAAGACTGGGAAGATAGGAGGGGCCCATCCCGGCATGCACTTATTTAACCCTGGGTGAACTTGTTCCGGGCTTCAGTTGCCACACCTGTAAAAAGAGGCAGTTCCCTTCCAACTCTCGTGTTATGACCCGATGACTCGATGAAGTGGCATTCGGAGCAAGTGCTCCTCCAGCCTCTATTTGGAGACCACCAGTGACGGGGAGCTCTTTACTCCAGCCATGGGGAGCAGCAGCTGAGGCTTCCACCCAGGCTCCAAGTGGCCTACTGGCTTCAAACCGCAAAAGGAAAGCAATCGGCCTCCTCGTTTGTTTGCTAAGTGAAACCATCCACAGCAGCAAGGCCATTGTCAGGATCGCACAGCTCTGCACAAAACTAGGGCGGGGCAGCCGAGCTTCTGCCCAAAAGCACCAAAATGAAGACAGTACTGAGATTAGATGGGCAGAAACAACTGAGCCGAGCACCTAGTTAGCAGAGCTGCACCCCGAGGTGATCTCTTCGGTGGCGCACCCCACCTTGCTATCCCCACCTTGGATGAAAAATGGGTAGTTACATCTCTGCCATATATATTTGCATGTGTGTGACTGGTCAGGCCTTGAAGTATGTGGTATACGAAAACCTTATTGGTGGAAAGTCAATTGGTCCAACCACTCTGGAAAGCAATTTAGAATTAGGTGGGAAAAATCACTCAGTTGTCCACACCCTTTAATCCATCCGTCCCAATGCTGGACATACATCCCGAGGCCGATGGTGGACCGTGGATCGGGACATGTCAACTTTCCATAAGGGATTCTTGTACATTGTTTTTAATATAGAGTGTGATAGCTGGAGAGAACCTTAAAAGACAGAACACCGTCCCCTCTCTACTTCTCACTTTATTGAGAAAACTGAAGCTCTGTTTGTGTGTATGTGTGTATGTGTGTGTGTGATGTGTGTGTGTGCCGCACCTCCAGATTTTCTGCTTCGTCCCCCATTCTTTCCTTCCTTAGTCTCTGAGGAAGAGATGGCCTTTCTCCTCACAGAGACCTATGCCCTGGATCTCAGCCCCCATCCCCATTCCCTGGGGCCTTTGATCATTTAATCTCTCGGGTTTGGTTCAGTCACTCCCGGTGGCCCGGGCCCTCCCTGGCTGTTGACAAACATGCCTGGTCCTCTGGGATCCTCTAACCCAGGCAAGCTGTCTGCCAATCCTAGCTCTCTCCCTTTTCATTCCCAAACTAGAAAGGCTTCTCTACACTCACCTATGCCCACCCTTCTCAGCCCTCCCCAATTTGGCTCCCAAATCCATCCCTCAAATGTACCTGCCACCTCAAAGTTTACTGACTCTCTTAATTGTAAACATCCCTGACCTTCAGGCAGACCTCTCTGGAATTTCTGAGTCTGTTAGCTAACTCCCTGCCTCTGGGCCGACTCTCTCCTTCCAGTTTTCCTGAAAATTCTCTCTTTCCCTTCTCCTCCTATCTGACTACCTGACTGGTCGATTATTCATCTGCCTCTCCCTAAGGTCAGGCGTATCCCAAGGCTCCCTCCTTCACCCTCTCAGAGGCCTGTGGGTGAGTTCGTCTGCCTCCATAGCTTCCAATCTCTTCACAGATGGCTCCTCAAACTCCACCTTCAGATGTAACCTCGAGCCCAGGAGTCCCAGGTCTGAGCAGAGGGGCCGCCTCTAAAGTATTAATATCACACTGACTTCTTGTTCCCCCACCCAGAATTTATTTACTCTGGGAACAAGTCTCCTGCTTTCACGTGTGACCCCCTCCCCAAACCATTCTGAGCCACACGACCTGAGAAAGGTCTAAAACCTGGATTGGCCAATCAGGAGAGACATTTTGGCCCATTCTGAGCTTCACCCACCATGATACTTTGTGTGTTCTGGCATAGTAGACACTCTTTGCTCTCAGAGTGAACTCAAAATGTCCTTTTCTGTGTCTGAAACGACAAGGCAAAGGAAGCTGACCAGGAGCATTCTTCTGTTTATGACTACCAAGGACAAGAAACTTTGAACCAGACACTATCTTGAATAATGGGACTTTTCTTATCTTGTATCTTGTCTTGGTATTTTATGGACATATGCTATGTGATTTTATATCATATCATGTTAACGATAGAAGAAATGCGATATCCTGTATATATAATTTCAATTGACAGTTTAACACTTCTCTTATATTATTGTATTTACAACCTATCCAATTAAGAAAATTCTCATATTATGATTAACACATAATGAGACTATTATTTTAGCTGACATAGGCATCCTGAGCCAGGAAGGGAGGGAGGGGTGAAAGGGAATTGCTCTGAAGATGTAAGGTCTGTCCATCTTTGGGTTCATTGTGAATTCACATGCATATCTCTATGTGCATCTTCCACAAGTTTTGAGAGAAATAAACACACATGCAGCTTAATTTTGTCTTTCTTTTTATTTTTTTAGCAATTATTTTATTTATTTTTAGTTTTTAACGTTCAATTCCATGAGATTTTGAGTTTTTAATTTTTTCCCCTCTTTCTCTTCCTCCCTCCCCAAGACTGCACACAATCTGATATAGGCTCTACTTATACATTTATATTAAACATATTTTCACTCTAGTCATGATGTAAAGAAGAATTAGAACTAATGGGAGGAACCATGAGAAAGAAAGAACAAAACAAAACAGCAAAAGAAAGGGAGAGCAAATGGTATATGCTTCAATCTGCATTCAGACTCCAAAGTTCTTTCTCTGGATGTGGATAGCATTTTCCATCATGAGTCTTTTGGAATTGATTTGGATCATTGCATTGTTGAGAAGAGCCCAGTCTATCAAAGTCAGTCATCACATAATGTGGCTGTTACTATGTACAATGTTCTGATTCTCTCTCATTTTCTTTCTCAATTTTCCTTCTACCTTCATTTGACTTTTAAATTTTTTCTTGTGCTCTTCCAAGAAGGCTTTTTGAGCCTGAGACCAGTTCATATTCCCCTTTGAGGTTTCAGATGTGGGTATGTTGACAGTGTTGTCCTCTTCTGAATTTATGCCTTGCTCTTCCCTGTCCCCATGATAAGAATCTATGATCATTGTCTGTTTCTTTCTGCTCATGGTGTTTGCCTTTTCTTGGCTTTTAAAGTTGAGCTCTCTCTCTGGAGCGCAGAGGGCACTGACCCAAGCTTCTTGTGCTGGGAGCCGGGGACCTTGTCACTGACTTTGTGTGCTGGGGCCTCACGCACCGGCAGCTGGAGGCTGTAGGGGTCTGGCAGCTTACCTGGTGCTGGCCTGGGGTCAGCAGCCCTGGAGCTCTTGGGGTGGCGGTAGGGAGTCCTGCTGTTGGTGCTTGCCTGCTCCACCACCCTGGGGCTCAGGATCTTCCCCTGGTTTGCTGATGTCTGTTTGTCATTCTAAAAATGAACTTGGTAATGGTTGACACACACAAACACTCAAGGTAATAAATGCACTTGGCATTATTTGGGTCCATGTGGGACTTTTCTTTCTGCCTTTGGCCTTTATGGGGCATGTGTCCAGCTTTGGGAGCTTGGGGACAAAGCATATGCACAATTTATTTTTTTAATTTAATGCTTTCCCCCAATTACATGTAAAAACAATTTTTAATATTGCTTTTAATTTTTTTTTGAGTTCCAAAGTTTCTCCCTCCCTCCCCTCTCCTTCTCATTGAGAAGACAAACAATTTGATATAGGTTATACATATGTAGTCATGCAAAGCATATTTCCATATTAGTCATATTGTGAAAGAAAAAACACAGACAAAAAAAACCCAAGAAAAATAAAGTAAAGAAAAAGTTTGCTTCAATCTGCATTCAGATTCTATCAGTGCTTTCTCTGGAGATGGAGAGCATTTTTCATCATAAGTCCTTCAGAATTGTCCCGGATCACTGGATTGCTGAGAATAGCTAAGTCATTCCCAGTTGATCATCATATAATAATGCTGGTACTGTATACAGTGTTCTCCTGATTCTGTTCATTTCACTTTGTATCAGTTCATGTAAGCCTTTCCAAGTTTTTCCTCAGGGCATCCTGCTTTTCATTTCATTTCATTTCGTTTATTTATTTGTTTGTTTGTTTGTTTATTTATTTATTTTTTGGTGAGGCATTTGGGGTTAAGTGACTTGCTCAGGGTCACACAGCTAGTAAGTGTCAAGTGTCTGGTCTGAGACCAGATTTGAACTCAGGTCCTCCTGACTCCAGGGCCATGCTCTATCCTCTGCGCCACCTAGCTGCCCCGTGCTTTTCCTTTCTTAAAGCACAGTAGTATTCCATCACAATCATATACTGTATGCATGATTTAGTGATTCAGCCTCAGACCATTCCTGGCTCTGTGACCCTGGGCAAGTCACTTCACCATGTTTGCCTCAGTTTCCTCACCTGTAAAATGAGCTGGAGAATGAAATGGCCAACCCCTCCAGTATCTGCAAAAAACAAACAAACAGAACCCTCCAAATTGACTCAAGAAGTGTCAGACATGACTGAAACAACTGAAGAACAACAAAATCACAGAATTCTAATCTCTTTTGGCAAAGTTGTTGGAGCTACCGCCGGTGTCTCCGTGAGTCTGTCTGGGGTCTAGAGTGTGTCCAGGGAAGACTGGTACCTCTGGTGTGAGGGCTGCTTTCCACGTTCGGTGTCTGCTTGGTCCACCTAAAGTGCGGCTCCGAGAAGCTGTAGCAT